CGGCCTGGCGTCCCCGCCGCAGCGTGCAGGTGAGGTGCCGGAGAGCGGGGCCCGCACGTCCAGCAGGGCGCACGCTCCTGGGGACCTTCATGTGGATTTCAGCTGTGCAAGGAAAGGCTCCAGTTCTGGCCCCCACGCTCTTCGCCTCTGGCACCTGCTAATTAGCGATTCTGGGCCAAAACACTTGTTCCTTAGAATAAGCTCAGCCTCCAATGCATTTTAATGTGTCCACCGGTTTCTGTAAAACACCTTACCATAGTTGAGATGTGGGTCCCAAACGCCATTTTATTACTCACCCCAGCCCAGATCACAGATACCAAATTTAACCCAGTAATCTCTGCAGCAGGCCTTTGTTTCTCTTTGAACTGGAATGGCTCTTTCAGTAAGGTGCCCTTTACTGAGGGGAAAGACCACCCATGTCGAAGGAAGGAGTTCTATAGCTTATAAATGGCACTTGATCATCTTTCCTACTTACAGGTCTGTTTTCAATTTGTCTTTGTCTTTCAGACTAAGTGACCTCTGATTAAAATCTTTTACCCTTGTTTACCAAGTATGATGAAGTCAGCTCTAAACTTCACCCTTCAGTGAACTGAATCTATCAGACTACTTACATCTCATTTAAGGCATCTTTTGCAGACCCCAACATTTCTGTAAGTCTGCCTTTTTTTTGTTGTTATTTTTGTTTGGTTTAAATGAAACAAGACATTTTGGGAGATCCTCGGTGCTCCATTTTGTTAGTTTCACTCTCCCTGGGGCACTTTCTGCTTATATGATTGTCAGCAGCTAGAAAATTGCTGTTGAGTCTTCCATAGCTGATAATCTGTTAATAACAGGACTCTGAACTGTGTCTATAGCAAACAACACAGGATGATGTAAAAGAAAGGTTTTCAAATACTGGTTGGTGGGACTGCCATTTCCTTGTAGAAATAAAAAACTCAAGAACAGTCATATGCCTCACTTGAAATGGAAATATTTTTCGTGTTAGTACAGTATAGTTACATGCTCGGTGTCACTTGTAGCAAAATTAGCATAACTGCAAGTAACCTTTTGCTTTTGCAAGCTCTGAGGCAACCTCAGAAGAATATACTGTCCCCAAATTATTAAAACTGGATAATGTAGAACTTTTGTCACTCTAAAGTATGCCAGAAATAACTTCTGATTTTAGTTCTCGGATTTTATCATTCCAATTAGAAGAGATGCAACTCCCAGCTTTGCTTTCTGTCTTGCTGCCAGGAGCATGTGTTAGGGACAACTCTGAAAGTTATGAAATTAAGGGAATTTATCTGGTTTAAGGCAGCACATGAAAGGGCATAAGAGACTTTGTGTGCTAGCAACTTGAAGAAGCTTTGAATAGTCTCAGAGCCACAGTAAGCAATTAATTTACAGAACTGTGGGTAGTATCTGCAGTACCAGCAATGGTTCTTTGAGTACTAGGCAGTTTTGTGCTGACGGAACCGAACCATTTAACAATCTTCCTGGTGCTTACAATGAACTTCAGAAACACCCATGAATCTCTGAGGAGGTGGTTGTGTTTGGTAGCTGCAGGCAAATTTCTGTGCATTTATTAAGAAATGGTTAGCTGAAGGAACAGATGTGATGACGACTGCAGGAAATGTCAGTGTGGGTGAGATACATGTCGTTAACGAGAAACATTAAAGCCTGAGATACATGGCTTTAAAGAGAAACATTAGAGCCTTACTTGTTAATCTAGAATGTAAAAGTATAGTTTTCCTCAGGCCAGAGCTGCAGGGGAAGGCAGAACAAATACACATAAGAGATGATAGCTGCAGTAGAGGAGGTGCCGAAGAAAGTTGCGTAATGGATGAGGCATATCATGAGATTCCCTTGCAGATGGAGGTTAGATTGTAAGCACTTTTCAGTTGAGGCTTTTTTTTCTTTTCTCTCTGTTGAATCCTGTATCACTATATCTAATAGAGATTTTTCCTGGGGCTGCTAGTTACTACCAAAATATAAAATAATCATCATTAGAAATAAAATAGCAACTTCCATTTTCTTTTTGTCCGTAAAACTGAAGAAATCGCCACCTTGAAATTTTCTTTGTAAACCTTGAATCTGTATGCTAAGGCATCTAATCCAATTTTGTATGTTAGAGACCTACATAGCATTGGAAAAACCTTAGCAGGTGTAAGTGAAGTTATCTATCTCCATGGTCTCTGGGGGAACTAGATACATTTATGTCATCTCAGAATCTGGCCTCCTGTTGTTGTTTGGGTTTTTTTAACCAAACAGTTGTTTTTTCTTTTTGTTGTATCTATTAACAACTGAGAAAAGATGAGTTATTTCACAAATATACATTATGTTTGCCACACTGCAGTTAACAAGGAATTTACAGGTAGCGATTATTACACATGTCCTAACTATATCTATTCACTTACCTGCATTTATAAATTGTATTGTGACAGAACACTGTAAAGATCTGACCCAGATCCAGACCCGCTTGTGCATCGAGGCCCCGCAGTGAAAGCAGATGAACCAGCACCATGTGGGGCATCTCGTCCCGACCTCGGGGTGTAGCCTGTTAAAGGAGAAGCTGAAGCCCGAGCATGCACACAGCATTCGTGGTGTCGCACACACACACACACTTACTCTTGGGTGTGCTTCCTCCTTCTTCAGGCTCAACCCTAGGTATACCCCAGCAGAGTCTCAGGTGTTGGATTTTGTAAAATAATTAATTTAATTGGAAGGTAAGACAGCAAGAACAGCCCAGGCTGGGTGCCTCCAAAGAGAGGGATGCCAAACAAAAGAATCCCTGGGCAATTATACCCTTGTGATCTATACACCCGCCCCTCAGGTGCCCTTCACGCACTGCCCACATGTCTTTTAGTCCAATGGTGATTTTTGGTCTGGGGTCTTCTAACATCTAATTGGATTCTTTTTTTATGTCCAGGCAGGCAGGCTCTTATCTTGTTGATTTGCAGTTTCAGTCGAGGGTTGGAGCCTCCATATCTTCTGGTTTACATTCCTTGTGCACCTGCACTCACTGGCAGAACATGGAGAACTGAAGAGTCCCAGGCTTGGGAGAAACACTACCAAAACATCAGTGTGATATCAACGTTTTCCTCATACTAAAACACTAAACTGTACCAGCTGCTAGGAAAATTACTAAGAATAACAACTCTCTCACAGCCTAAAGGCTTCAGCCGATCTAGTTACTCATGCTAAGTAAAGCTAGGCAAACAGCACAAATCACACCATAAGTAATTTATTCTAATTAAAACTTACTTATTTGCGCTAAACAACTAATATCCCTCAACACAGCCAGGGCCCAGTGGGGTGTTGCACCATCCCGTAGGGTGCAGCACCCACATTAGACACGCCAAGGGCACACTGAGGCACTAACCTATTCTGCCCCGTAGGCAGCTCATCTGGCCTTTGCTCAGGTTTTTGGTTTGGTGGTTGCAGGTGTCTGAGTCAGGGCTGTAATTCCCTTATTAGTGGTGAAGTTGTAACAAACCCCTTCATTAAGGAAATGTACGTTTTCCACTTTTAATGTAGTTTGGGCTGCAGGGAACAAGCATCTGGCAGTCTGTTCTCTCACTGGAGCGTGTGTAAGGGAGCAGCAGTGAAGTGGCAGTTTTACACTTAGCCTATGCTGCATTGGGAATATGGGATCATCTTTGCCCAAATTGTTGTTTTGGTTGTTCTTTTTAAATAGTTACTTGATGATAAATTGGGTTAGAGGCTCCTGTGGCCATATGGTTCGATCTCAAATTCCTCTTCTTTTTTCTATGTGAATAACACTGTCCCCATTCTCTCTGATGGTCAAAGGAGGCGGCCAAAATGGACAGAGCAAGTAGGGATTTCTCCAACTAGGAATTCTCTGTTAACATGCTTGTTATATGATGTGACTTGAGGTCTTTCCTTGTCGTGATTTACATATGCATCATAAATGACTTTTAGGCTTAGCTTGTATATTTGTAAAACTTGTAACATTTGCAGGGTCTGAGTCTTGAAAAGCCTGAGACTAAAACACTAATACAGTGTTGCAGCTTTGAAGAGAATCGGATTAGTTGGGTTAAAGATAGACTTTAATTCAACACCCTTGAAAGAATTCAAGTATCGTAATAATTACATGATTTATGTGTATGCATGTATCCGTATATGTATGTGTGTATATTATGGAAGCTTAAACAAATAATGAAGTAACTGCACAAATAAGAATGAGACAAGTGTTTCCTCTCACTTCCTGCCAGAGAAATATGAAAAAAAAAAAAAAAGAAAAAAAGTTCCAGAAAAAAACTGCTCAAAGTTTATCAAACATGCAACCTTTGAGGGCAGTGAGTGAAAGTGGATCCTACCCAGCAGCTGTGATTTCTTACACCCACAAAGGCAGCTGTAGTCCTTTCCACTCAGCCTAGCTTTTCCATTGCACAGGGCACATAATGAATGGCCTGAGAGGGAGCTTGTCAAAGCAGCTTGTACACATGGTATTAAGAGCA